GGTCGATACTGCAGGTTTGTCTCACCTGATGCAGGGGGTCCTACCGATCATTTTGTTGTAAAGGTGTCTTGGCCAAGGTCCAAGGGCTCAGCTATCCAGAAAGGGGTTAACAGAGCTGGCCTGAGCCTGCTATCCTTTGAAAGGTTAGCCGTTGCCTGAGAACTTGAATTTGGGAAGTGTTTCCACTATTCCTAACTGGTAAGGATGGCTCATTGTGCCCAGACTTTGTGCAATCAGTGTGGTTTATGCTCATCATCTGCTTTCATTCTGAGAATCTGAAATTTTGGTATATGCTAGACAGAATGTCTAGTGACCAGCCCCCAACAAAAACCTTAGGCACTGAGTCTCTAATAGCTTCCTTGGGCAGTCGCACTTGTGTTGCTAGGAAACAGCCAGCTCTGCCTGACTCATTGTGAGAGACAACGTAAGGAAGCTTATGATAAGCATTCTTCAGACTCTGCCTGTCTTTTTCCATTGCTGATTCCGTTGCATGTCTGTTTGCTGTAACAAACCTTAACTGTGAACACAAATGTCAGTGGCGCTGGGGATCAGCAAGAACAGGTTCTCGTCTCCTGAAGGAAAGATTTCAACACGAGAGACGGGGAAATTGCAGCAAGCAGCAAAGCTTTATTCAAGCGAAAGTACAATAAGCGAAGTTCGAGGGCCCCGAATGGGTCTAGGTCCTGGCTTTTGTCTTATTCTTGCCCCTCCCACGCTTTGCCCTAATCTCCTGCACCATTTGTCCTTTAGCTGGTGGGCTCTCTAGAATTTCCTGGGTCTGCTTAACTGGTGAGCTTCTTAGAACTTCCTGTATCTGCAGTCGTCTTGTAAGATTTTGTCCTTTTGGTGCTAGGAGTTATTTTTACTGCATTTCTTTTCCCTCTTTTTGTCTAACTTTGATGGCTGTTTTAGTTTTCTAGTCATCCTTTCCCTTGTTTATTTAAGCGCGGCTTTTTGGTCAGTTTGTCCTTTCTCTGCCCTGCTCATGTCTATCTAACTACCTACTCTAACATTTCCCTCTCAAGAGTTATGAGACCCAATTCATTGGGAGATCATGGACGTAGACAGTCATCTGGCTACTTCCTGCTGACAAACGGGCGAAGTTGGGGATTGGGTCTCATTCTCTTGCTATCTGTCAGGGCAGAGGGTAAGTTTCTCTGAATCGCTGGCCAGCTTGATCAAGGGATTGAGTTGTCTCTGCGGGGGGGGGG